CATTCAGTCAGTCGGTCAGACAGTGAATCCTCGAATGCCTACAGTGTACAAAAGCTTGAAGTTGAGAGGGAACATTTAGGAACCCCAAGTAATTGAATATGACCAAAGCAGAGGCTTCAAGATGAGAAACAAGGCTAGAGTGGTTGGTTTGGATTAGTTCTCAAAGGGCATGCAGGTCTTATCCTATGAAGCAGATGATTAGTGAGGAACCAGGGAGTGTCAGAAACTTCTTTTGGTTTATTTTTTATTTTTATTTATTTTATTTTATTTTTTTGAGACAGAGTCTGCACTGTTGCCCAGGCTGGAGTGCAATGGCGCAATCTCGGCTCACGGCAACCTCTGCCCCCTGGTTTCAAGCAATTCTCCTGCCTCAGCCTCCTGAGTAGCTGGGACTACAGGTGGCTGCCACGATGCCCAGCTAATTTTTGTATTTTATTTATTTATTTACTTACTTACTTATTCTAAGACAGAGTCTCGCTGTGTTGTCACCCAGGCTGGAGTTCAGTGGCGCCATCTCTGCTCACTGCAACCTCTGCCTCCCGGGTTCAAGTGATTCCCCTGACTCAGCCTCCCGAGTAGCTGGGACTACAGGCGCCTGCCACCATGCCTGGCTAATTTTTATATTTTTAGTAGAGATGGGATTTCAACATGTTTTGGCCAGGCTGGTCTTGAACTCCTGACTTCAGATGATCTGCCTGCCTTGGTTTCCCAAAGGGCTGGGATTCCAGGTGTGAGCCACAGTGCCCGACCTTTTTGGTTTATATTTATTTTATAATGGCTTGTGTTTCTCAAATGTTATTATTTATTCCTTTTTTTTTTTCTTTGAAACAGAGTCACACTCTGTCACCTAGGCTGGAATGCAATTGTGCAATCTTGGCTCACGGCAACCTCTGCCTCCTGGTTTCAAGCAATTCTCCAGCCTCAGCCTCCAGAGTAGCTGGGTATGCCAGCTACACCCGGCTAATTTTTGTATTTGTAGTAGAGACGAGGTTTCACCATGTTGTCCAGGCTGGTCTTGAACTCCTGAGCTCAGATGATCCCCTCACCTCGGCCTCCCAAAGTGCTGGGACTACAGGCATGAGCTACTGTGCCCGGCCTCAAACTTTAGTGTGTTTAAGAAACACCAGGGCTGGGCATAGTGGCTCCCACCTATAATCCTATCACTTTGGGAAGCTGAAGTGGGAGGATCTCTTGAGCTCAGGGGTTTGAGACCAGTCTGAGGAACATAGTGAGAGCCTCATCTGTACAAAAAATTTAAAAAAAATTAGCCTGGTGTGGTGGCATGCACCTGTAGTTCCAGCTACTTGGGAGGCTGAGGTAGGAGGATCCCTTGAGCCCAAGAGGCAGAGGTTGCAGTGAGTTGAGATCACGCCAATTCACTCTAGCCTGGGCAACAGAGTGAGACCCTCCAAAAAAAAAAAAAAAAAGGCAGATTTGGCAGGGTACAGTGGCTCATGCCTGTAATCCTAGCGTTTTGGGAGGCTGAATCTGGAGGATCACTTGAGCCCAGGAGACGCCATTTCTTCCATCATTTTTTTGAAGATGGAGTTTCGCTCGTCGCCCAGGCTGGAGTGCACTGGCGCGATCTTGGCTCACTGCAACCTCCGCCTCCTGGGTTCAAGTGATTCTTGCTGGGATTACAGGCATGAGCCACCACGCCTGGCCAGGAGATGCTATTTCTATAAAAAATAAAAATAAATTAGGTGAGTATGGAGGTACATGTCTGTAGTCCTAGCTACTTGGAGGCTGAGGTGAGAGGATGGCTTAAGCCCAGGAGTTCGAGGCTGTAGTGAGCTATGATTGCGGCACTGCACTCTATCCTGGGTGGAAAGCAGACCTTTCTTAAAAAAGAAAAAAAATAAATAAGGTGAATTCCAGAGCCAACCTTCCAAGGGGCCCCAAAATTTGTATTTAAACCAGTCCTTTAGATGATTCTGACTCACTTAAACATCCAGGCATAATGGAGGTACTTTAAAACAGATGGGTTAGGCCAGGCGCAGTGGCTCATGCCTGTAATCTCAGCACTTTGGGAGGCCAAAGTGGGCAGATTACCTGAGGTCGGGAGTTCAAGACCAGCCTGACCAACACGGAGAAACCCCGTCTCTACTAAACATACAAAATTAGCCGGGCATGGTGGTGTATGGCATGCCTGTAATCCTAGCTACTCAGGAGGCAGAGGCAGGATAATCTCTTGAACCCAGGAGGCAGAGTTTGCAGTGAGCCGAGATCTTGCCATTGCACTCCAGCCTGGGCCACAAGAGCAACATTCTGTCTCAAACAGACAAACAAACGGCCAGGTGTGGTGGCTCATGCCTGTAATTTCAGCACTTTGGGGGGCTGAGACAGGCGGATCACGAGGTCAGGAGATCAAGACTATCCTGGCTAACACAGTGAAACCCCATCTCTACTAAAATTACAAAAAATTAGCTGTGCGTGGTGGCACGTGCCTGTAGTCCCAGCTACTTGGGAGGCTGAGGCAGGAGAATAGCTTGAACCCAGGAGGCAGAAGTTGCAGTGAGCCGAGATCGTGCCACTTCACTCCAGCCTGGGCGACAGAGTGAGGCTCCGTCTAAAACAAAACAAACAAGCAACAACAACAACAAAAACAGATGAGTTAGGAGGGTATTTCCATATTGCAGTATCTTTGTGTTTTTTTGTTTTTGTTTTTTTTTTCAAGACGAAGTCTTGCTCTGTTGCCCAGGCTGGAGTGCACTGAGTGGTGTGATCTCGACTCACTGCAACCTCTACTTCCTGAGTTCAAGAGATTCTCCTGCCTCAGCCTCCCAAGTAGCCGGTATTACAGGCACCTGCCACCACGCCCAGCTAATTTTTGTATTTTTAGTAGAGACACAGGGTTTCACCATGTTAGCCAGGCTGGTCTCGAACTCCTGACCTCAGGCAATCCATCCACCTCGGCCTCCCAAAGTGTTGGGATTACAGGCATGAGCCACCAGAGGGTTTCACCATGTTGGCCAGTCTGGTCTCAAACTCCTGACCTCAGGTGATCTGCCTGCCTCAGCCTCACAAAGTGTTGAGTGTTGGGGTTACAGGCGTGAGTCACCATGCCCAGCTGATATTGCAGTATCTTTTGAGAGTGCTGATCTGAACTAGATAGAGTTAATCTTCCTACTTTGGCCTATCACATATCTAAGGTCTTGAGCCTCTTCCTACCCAAAGAGGACCTACAGAAGGCGAACAAATGCAGCTCCATCCAGAGGCTGAAGAAAGTAGATTTGGTAAGAAGGTGGAATAGACAAGACTTGGTGATTGGATGAGGAGTGTGTGAATGAGAAGAAGTCAGGAATGTCACTGGCCTTTCCAGCTTAGGGCAGCTGTTGTTGTGGTGTGTCACTCAGTTTAAGAGTGGTAGGTCAGGAAGAAGAACCCACGCGGAAGGTAAAGTGAGGAGTTTTAGTTGAGAGTTGCTGGGTTTGGGGTGCCTCTGGGACATCCAACTGGAAACTCAGGAGAAAGATGTGGACTAGAAATAACAGATTTGAGGATCATTAGCAAAGAGATGGCAGCGAAAGCGGGTGAAATCATCCCCGGAGAGGGAATTGAGTGATTAAAGGATCTTGAAGAAAACCCTAAGGAACAGTTAAGGGAAGGAGTGAGTAAGACAAAAAATTGCAGAGAAAACAAAGGACAGGCTAGAGATGAGAGGAAAACCTACCTCCTGCAAAGTTCAAGAGAAAGAGTGACAAACTGAGAAGCATACTGGATTCAGCAAAGAAGTCTGCGGTGACCTTGTGGAGAGCAGTTTTAGTGGAACTTTGGGGACGGCACCAGATTGCAGTGGGTTGAGGAGTGAGTGGGAGGGGAGGGGTTGGAGACAGCTGGCAGCGACATTTTTTCAAGCTGTTTGGCCAAGAATGGAGAGAGATAGGATGGTAACTTAATAGAATTGAGAGCTTCTTTTTTTTTTTTCTATACTAACGGAGGAGAGGAAGAAAATTCAGGGACAAAAGGAAATAACAAAGCCCAGGGGGAGGAGCAAGATGGAATCCAGTGCACACACTGGATTGGTCTTCAGACAGGAGGGATGCATGTCTATGTTTTAACTGGATGCAAGGAGGAAATGATTAAATTGGCTGGAAGCTTGATTGTTGGGTAGTTCTCGTTTAAGGATACTGTTTCCTCTTGGAAGATAGGCGATGAGTAAGGAGTTCGTTGAATGAATACATGAACATTTTCCCGTAGCTAGTCAAAGTCTAGGGTTACCAGCAGGACAGAAGAAGACACTGCAGGCCGGGTATGGTGGCTCACGCCTGTAATCCCAGTACTTTGGGAGGCCGAGGCGGGCGGATCACGAGGTCAGAAGACCGAGACCATCCTGGCTAACACGGGGAAACCTGGTCTCTACGAAAAATACAAAAAATTAGCCGGGTGTTGTGGCGTGCGCCTGTAATACCAGCTACTTGGGAGGCTGAGGCAGGAGAATCACTTGAACCTGGGAGACAGAGGTTGCTGTGAGCCGAGATCGTGCCACTGCACTCCAGCCTGGGCAACAGAGCGAGACTCCGTCTCAAAAAAAAAAAAAAAAGAGACTGCATTTGAGGCAAGAGTCCGGTGGAAAGCAGGTTAAGACTGACTGAGAGGAAGTAACCGTGGGAGGGCTGCTGGTCCACTGAAAGAGAGAGATTTTTCCAGAACCTCATGCTGGGGCTTTGATTTAGGAATCCCCTTCTTCCTCTAGTCAGTCAGCCTTCCCTGGCCTATGGCTCACGTCTAAAGCCTCGAGCCTCATCGTTCCCACCGAGGACCAGCTGGAAGCCATTTTGATTATGCTCCACCACGAAGGAGGACAATACAGCCCCGCCCAGAGCCAGGCGCGCCCCCGCGGCGGGCCGGGTGCGCGTGTCCGCGCTTCTTCCCGCCGGCCGGGCGGGCGCCTGGCCCAGGACCCGGCGGCGCGGGGCGGGGGGTGGGGGTGGTTATGTAAGCGTTGCGCGCTCCCGCGAGGCGCCAGCCAATGGGAGGCCCCGGCGGCTCGTGCTCGCGCACGCAGGGTGGGGGGAGGGAGCGCACGACGTGCGCGCACCCTCTCCCTCGTCCACCGCTGCCGCCTCCTTCTTCTGCCGCTCCTGGTGCTGCTTGTGTGCTCGTTTGGTGCGGACCTGGTACCTCTTTTGTGAAGCGGCAGCTGAGGAGACTCCGGCGCTCGCCATGGCCGACGAAAAGCCCAAGGTGAGCTCAGCGCCGGCCCCTTCGCCTCGCCGCGCGGTCGGGGTCAGGGCGCGGGCCGGGGTCCGGCCAGAGCTCGCCGCTGGCTCCCAGCGCCTTCCCGGGCCCCCCACAGGGCCGGCCGCAGCTCAGGCCCCGGCGCTCCGCGCCATTTTCCTCCCTCCCTCTCTTCCTCCCTCCCGCGCCGGAGGAGGCCCCGCCGCTCTCTCCCGCCCCCGGCGGCCTCTGAGTGCGCGCGGGGCGCGAGTTGGGCGGGCAGATCGCGGACGCCCGCGGGCCCACCAGCCCCGAACGGGGATTCTTGGCCCAGCCGACCGGCGCGCGTGAGGAGGGGCGTTAGGGCGCGCGGGGTCTCCACCCTGCGCCGACCCCGCGTCGGGTGTTGCAGTCTCCGAGGCGGCGGGGAGTCCCCTGGGCTCGGGCTTCACCTCTCAGGGGTAGGAACCGCGGGCATCTGGGGACTCCTGCCCAGGGCGGCGGCGGCGGGGCGAGGGTTCGGGGCGAATCAATGGGCTGCTGATGAGCAGGAACCTGGATGTCCGCTGGCCGCCGTACTGGGCCTGGGGGTAGGGGGATTCCCGTGGAGTATTTCCCACTTTAATGGCCTCAGGGACCTGAGGGGGGAGGGGCAGCGGCTTTTCCCTGGGTGCCAACGAACCCCTAATCCGCGAAGACCATGCGGTTTCATGAAGTTGGAGGCACAGGTACGAGCAGAGAGACTTTGTGCGGCTTAACTTTTGAATGCGGCTTTTGAGGCACCCGAAGACTTCTCGGGAGGACTAGGGGACACCCATCATCGGGGCACACGGGACTTGCTGCTTTTAGTTTGGTGACACCTCCCGCCTCTCGCGCCTTTACTTTCTGGAGCGTTTTAGGGCAGCAGAATGCCTTCTACACTCGATTTTGGACAACTTTAGGTTGGGTCGAAATGTACAAGAAACACTTGGGATGAAACATGCATTTGACCCATGACAACAAAGGGGAGGGGAGAATAAGTGCTCTTAACCGAAGATGAAAATGAAGCTGCTAATAGAGGAGAACGTAACTGTGGTCCTGAGTATTACCGCTGTTCCGGAGGGAATCGGGATATTCTTCGATTTTGTGTGTGTGTGTTTACTTTAATGGAGATTGGATTTAGGTTATTAAACTGAGTTTGGTAACTTTCTAACGACAACGGTAATGAGTTTTGAATGGCAGGCTGTAGATTTATTGTTTCGTTTCTTGCAGTTGTACTTAAAGTGCTTAGAAAAGAGACTCTTATTTTCAACTTTTTTGGGGGGTAAAATGTATATTTTGGGAGTGATTATGCCATTTTAGAAAGTTTAGCTTCAAGAGAACGTTCAATACACTGAATAGGACCCAACTTTAAACATGTATTGTTGTTACTGATAGTATTGCATGTAGGCTTTTCTGTATCTGACAGCTATCTAATATTGTTGCTGCAGGATTTCTCCTCTTTCACATTGATTTCAGCAGCTGAAAACAGCCGTATGCCGTTTTAGCATACCGTATGAGAAACCTGTTGATTTTTGAAGCAACTTAGGGCGGCTGCTGCTTTATAAAAGTGTGTGTTGATCACATTTCCCAAATTATACTTTTATTTTTCTTTTAACAGGAAGGAGTCAAGACTGAGAACAACGATCATATTAATTTGAAGGTGGCGGGGCAGGATGGTTCTGTGGTGCAGTTTAAGATTAAGAGGCATACACCACTTAGTAAACTAATGAAAGCCTATTGTGAACGACAGGTGAGGAATTCATATGTGTACTTCTACTGAATAAAACTATTTTTAAAAATCTTATTTTCATGGGAACAAAAACTAGCCTGGCATAATACTACAGTGACTTTTTGATGGGATGAATATGCACTTATACTTGGCATGTCAGTTTTATCGTGCACTTGGTATAGTGATTGCTCATGAAAACCCTTAGGATGATTTGGTTAGTATTATATGTGGTTCCAGTCCTGTGCCAGAAATCCATCAAATTATATTTACAATACTTGTTTTTTGTGTTTTTTTTTAACCAAGGAAATGTAATTTTATGTTTATAAGAAAGTAAGAGTGAACTTGGTAAAATTACTTATGAGTCTTTTATTATTTTATTTTATTTTTTTGAGACGGAGTTTCATTCTTGTTGCCCAAGCTGAAGTACAGTGGCGTGAGCTCAGCTCACTGCAACCTCCACTTCCCGGGTTCAAGCAATTTTCCTGCCTCAGCCTCCTGAGTAGCTGGGATTACAGGTGCCCGCCACCACGCTTGGCCAATTTTTTTTAGTATTTTTGGTAGAGATGGGGTTTCATCATATTGGCTAGGCTGGTCTCAAACTCCTGACCTCAGGTGATCCGCCCGCCTCGGCCTTCCAAAGTGCTGGGATTACAGGCATGAGCCACCGCGCCAGACCAAGAAGTCTTTTTTGTTTTTTTTTTTTTTGGAGGGGGGGTCGCTGTTTTTTTTTTTAAAAGAAAATTTTTTTCTTTTTTAAATCGGGGGTTTTTTTTTTTTTTTTTTTTTTTTTTTGACGGAGTCTTGTTCTGTTACCCAGGCTGGAGTGCAGTGGTTCAATCTCTGCTCACTGCAACCTCTGCCTCCTGAGTTGAAGCTATTCTTCCCCCCCCCCCCCCCGAGTCGCTGGGACTCCAGGCGCCCGCCACCATGCCTGGCTAGTTTTTTGTATTTTTTTTTTTTAGTAGAGACGGGGTTTCACCGTGTTAGCCAGAATGGTCTCGATCTCCTGACCTCCTGATCCGCCCGTCTCAGCCTCCCAAAGTGCTGGGATTACAGGCTTGAGCCACTGTGCCCGGCCAAGTTGAAGCTATTCTTATGCCTCAGCCTCCTGAGTAGCTGGGATTTCAGGCGTGCGCCGCCATGCCCAGCTAATTTTGTATTTTTGGTAGACCTAACCTCAACTCCTGACCTCAAGTGATCCACCCACCTTGGCCTCTCAAAGTGCTGGGATTACAGGCATGGGCCACTGTGCCTGGCCCCTTCAGATTGTTCTAAATAGGTTCAAAGTAGAATAAGGCCTATGTAAGTTGGGAAATTGAGTTTGAGTTCATACTTGAAAGATCAGTGAAGATAAAAACTTCCTTTAGGCCTGGTGCAATGGCTCACATCTGTAATCCCAGCACTTTGGGAGACTGAGGCGGGTGGATCACTTGAGATCAGCCTGGCCACCATGGCAAAATACCATTTCTACAAAAAATACAAAAAAATTAGCTCGGCGTGATGGTACACGCCCATAATCCCACCTACTCCGGAGGCTGAAGCTGAGAATCCCTTGAACCTGGGAGGTGGAGGCTGCCGTGAGCCAAGATCACACCACTGCACTCTAGCCTGGGTGATGGAGCAAGAGCATTTCAAAGGAAAAGAAAAAAGAAACTTTAGAATGTTTGAAGTATTTTTATGCTTAGTGTATTTACGATGTAATAAGAAAATACTATGCTCATAATTCTTCATATGTAAACCTTCTTGTATGTAGTTCCTTGTGAAGATACTTTTTTTTTTGAGACAGAGGCTCGCTCTGTTGTCCAGGATGGAGTGCAGTGGTGCGATCTTGACTCACTGCAACCTCTGCCTCCCGGGACCAAGCAATTCTCCTGTCTCAGCCTCCCGAGTCGCTGGGACTACGGGCGCAGGCCACCACGCCCAGCTAATTTTTGTATTTTCAGCGAGATGGGGTTTTACCATATTGGTCAGACTGGTCTTGAACTCCTGACCTCAGGTGATCCACCTACCTCGGCCTCCCAAAATGCTGGGATTACAGGCGTGAGCCACTGTGCCCAGCAATATACCATATACTCTTATTTGAATAATTTTGCTGAAATTACCCTACATGAACTTACAAGTTGTGCTAAAAAGTTTATCCACTGGTATCTTCTATATTTGAACACTAGTGCCCCTTCAGGATACAGGGGAATTTTAAATGGTAATCCTTTTGGAGAACTTCTGTAGCAAAACTGCATACAAAATGGAAAATCATAGGCTAGGCGTGGTAATCCAGCACTTTGGGAGGCCAAGGCTGGAAGACCAGTCTGGACAGCATAGTAAGACCTCATCTCTTTTTTTGTTGTTGTTGTTTTGAGATGGAGTTTTGCTCTTACTGCCCAGGCTAGAGTGCAGTGGTGCAATCTCAGCTCACTGCAACCTCCACCTTCCAGTTTCAAGCGATTCTTCTGCCTCAGCCTCCCAAATTGCTGGGATTACAGGCGCCCACCACTACGCCCAGTTTATTTTTTTGTATGTTTTTAGTAGAGATGGGGTTTCACCATGTTGGTCAGGCTGGTCTCAAACTGCTGACCTCGTGATCCAACCGCCTTGGCCTCCCAAAGTGCTGGGATTACAGGTATGAGCCACCGTGCCTGGCCCAGACCTCATCTCTTAAAAAAAAAATTAGCTGGGTGTGGTGGCACACACCTGTAGTCCAGGCTATTTCAGTGACAGAGGTGGGAGGATTGTTAGAGCTTGGCAAGTCTAGGCTACAGTGAGCTATGATCTCATCACTGTACTCCGGTATGGGTGACAGAGTGAGACCCTGTCTCAAAACCACAAACAGAATCATGCTTCACTTTGGTGGTTTTTAACAGTATTCTTTTCTTTTTTTTTTTTGAGACAGAGTCTCACACTGTCGCCCAGGCTGGAGTGCAGTGGTGCGATCTCAGCTCACTGCAATCTCTGCCTCCCGGGTTCAAGCAGTTCTCCTGCCTCAGCCTCCTGAGTAGCTGGGACTACAGGTGTGCGCCACCACGCCCGGCTACTTTTTGTATTTTTCGTAGAGATGGGGTTTCACAGTATTCGCCAGGATCTCGATCTCTTGACCTTGTGATCCGCCTGCCTCAGCCTCCCAAAGTGCTGGGATTACAGGCGTGAGTCACTGGTGCCAGCCTTGAACACTATTCTTATGCATATCTTATTTAACTTTTCTGCAATTACAAAATTTTGCCTTTTTTTTTTTTTTTTTTGACACTGTTTTGCCTTGTTGCCCATGGTGAAGTGTAGTGGCAGGATTATTTATGATCATGGCTCACTGCATCCTCTGCCTCCCAGGTTCAAGCAATCCTCCCACCTCAGGCTCTCAGGTAGCTGGGACTATAGGCTTGTGCCACTATGCAATTCTTTTTTTTTTTTTTTTTTTTTTTGAGACGGAGTCTCGCTCTGTCGCCCAGGCTGGAGTGCAGTGACATAATCTCGGCTCACTGCAACTTCCACCGCCGAGTTCAGGCAATTCTCCTGCCTCAGCCTCCTGAGTAGGTGGGATTATAGGAACCTACCACCACACTTGGCTAATTTTTGTATTTTTAGTAGAAATGAGGTTTTACCACGTTGGCCAGGCTGGTCTCGAACTCCTGAGCTCAGGTAATCCACCCGCCTCGCCGCCTCGGCCTCCCAATGTAATCCCATGCTGGGATTAGGATGCAGTTTCCCACTTGTTGCTGAGGCTAGACTGCAATGGCGCAATCTAGGCTTACTGAAACCTCTGCCTCCCAGGTTCAAGTGATTCTCCTGCCTCAGCCTCACAAGTAGCTGGGGTTACAGGCATGCGCCACCACGCCTGGCTAATTTTGTATTTTTGGTAGAGACGGGGCCTCACCATGTTGATCAGGTTGGCTGGTCTCAAACTCCTGACCTCAGGTGATCCACCTGTCTTGGCCTCCCAAAATGTTGGGATTACAGGCGTGAGCCACTGCACCTGGCCACCATGCAAATTTTTAAATTTTTTTGAGATGGAGTCTTGCTCTGTTGCCCAGGCGGGAGTGCAGTGGCATGATCTCAGCTCACTGCAACCTCTGCCTCCTGGGTTCAAGCGATTCTCCTGCCTCAGCCTCTTGAATAACTGGGATTACAGCACCTGTCACCTTGCCTGGCTAATTTTTTGTATTTTTATTTGTTTATTTATTTAATTTTTTTTTTCAGACAGTCTCACTCTGTTGCCCAGGCAATGGCACAATCTCGGCTCACTGCAACCTCCACCTCCCAGGTTCATGCAATTTTCCCCCCTCAACCTCTGGCTGGAGTAGCTGGGACTACAGACGTGTGTCATCGTGCTCAGTCAATTTTTGTATTTTTAGTAGAGACAGGGTTTCACCATGTTGGACAGGCTGGTCTCTTAACTCTTGACCTCAGGTGATCTTCCACCTCAGTTTCCCAAGGTATTGGGATTACAAGCGTGAGCCACCACACTTGGCCTTCGTTTTTAAGTAGATTATGGTTATATAATGTTTTTCATCCCTTTTATTTCACTGATACTTAATGAGCAGCACCTACTATGTGCAAGGAATAGACTGTGTAAGTAAAACAATCTAGGTTCCTATACTTCCTGAAGAGTGTTTTTTAGTAGGACGATAAGTGATTACAGATTTGGGTAAGTATTAAAGGAAATTAAAAAGCAGGTGCTTTTTTAAAGCTATTCCAGGTAGTTCAAGGGTATAGGTTGTGGCATTTTAGGTCGATTTTGTTGTTGTTATTGTTGTTATTGAGACGGAGTCTGGTCTGTCACCCAGGCTGGAGTGCTATGGCATGATCTAGGCTCACTGCAAACTCCGCCTCCCAGGTTCAAGCGATCCTCCTGCCTCAGCCTACCGAATAGCTGGGATTACAGGTGTGCGCCATCATGCTGGGCTAATTTTTGTATTTTTAGTAGAGGCGGGGTTTCACCACGTTGGCCAGGCTGGTCTTGAACTCTTTACCTCAGATGATCCGCCTTGGCCTCCTGAAGCATTGGAATTACACCGTGAGCCCGCGAGCTCTGACTGGAAAGTCTTTAAATGGGCTTTTTTTTTTTCTTTAAATTTCCTGTCAGTGGCTGGGTGGGGGGGATCACGAGGTCAGGAGATTGAGACCATCCTGGCTAACATGGTGAAACTCTTATCTCTACTAAAATACAAAAAATTAGCCCAGCATGGTGGTATGAGCCCGTAGTCCCAGCTACTCAGGAGGCTGAGGCAGGAAAGTTGCTTGAACTCCGGTGGTGGATGTTGCATTGAGCTGAGATTGCACTACTTGTACTCCAGCCTGGGCGACAGAGGGAGACTTGTCTCAAAAAAAAAAAAAAAAAAAAAAAATTCATTTCAGTGTCTAACTCGTTTAAATGCATATTTGTCTCAAGGTATGTTCTATTTAACATAGTAGCTGTGTCTGAAAAGCAGTAAAGCTTTTTAAAAGAATGACTTACTGGCCAGGCACAGTGGCTCACACCTGTAATCCCAGCATTTTGAGAGGTTGAGGTGAGTGGACAACTTGGGGTCAGGAGTTCGAGACCAGCCTGGCCAAAATGGTGAAACCCCGTCTCTACTAAAAACACAAAAATTAACTAGGCATGGTTAGCTGGGCGTGGTGGCGGGCACCTGTAATCCCAGCTACTCAGGAGGCTGAGGCAGGAGAATTGCTTGAACCCGGGAGACGGAGGTTGCAGTGAGCCAAGATCGTACCACTGCACTCCAGCCTGGGCGACAGAGCAAAACTCTGTCTTAAAAAACAAACAGGCTGGGCGCGGTGGCTCACGCCTGTAATCCCAGCACTTTGGGAGGCTGAGGTGGGCGGATCACAAGGTCAGGAGATCAAGACCATCCTGGCTACCATGGTGAAACCCCATCTCTACTAAAAATGCAAAAAATTAGCCGGGTGTGGCGGCGGGCGCCTGTAATCCCAGCTGCTCGGGAGGCTGAGGCAGGAGGATGGCATGAACCCGGGAGGCGGAGCTTGCAGTGAGCCGAGATTGTGCCCTTGCACTCCAGCCTGGGCGACTGAGCGAGACTCTGTCTCAAAAAACAACAACAACAACAACAAACAGGCGGCTTATGCCTGTAATCCCAGCACTTTGGGAGGCTGAGGTGGTCAGATCACCTGAGGTCAGGAGTTCGAGACCAGCCTGGCCAACATGGCAAAACCCTGTCTCTACTAAAAAATATGAAAATTAGCCAGTCATGGTGGCACGTGCCTAGTCCCAGCTAATCAGGAGCCCGAGGCGGACGGATCACCTGAGGTTAGGAGTTCAAGACCAGCCTGGCCAACGTGGTGAAATCCAGTCTCTACTAAAACCACAAAAATTAGCCGGTTGTTGTAGCAGGGTTCTGTAGTCCCAGCTACTCTTGGGAGACTAAGGCAGGAGAATCGCTTGAACCAGGAGGTGGAGGTTACCTTGAGCCGAGATCACGCCACTGCACTTCAGCCTTGACAACAGAGCAAAACTCTGTCTCAAAAAAAAAAAAAAAAGAGAATCACCCCAAATCTTTTTATTTATAGGGTATGTTAACATGTTAGCGATTGTTTATTTAGCTATTTCTTTAATATAGTCATGGCTAAATATGCATGTAGTTTTATCTAAATAGAATTCTATTTCTCTTAATGCCGTTTATTGCTTTTAAATTCTCTCGTTCAGGGATTGTCAATGAGGCAGATCAGATTCCGATTCGACGGGCAACCAATCAATGAAACAGACACACCTGCACAGGTAAAAAAATCTCTCCTAATTAGAAAAATTACCATTTGTAATTTTTTGAACAGCTGTGTTTATGAATTTGAACGTTGAGACACTGGAGTATAGTTTTTGTAGAGTTCAGAGCTTTGGGAAGTATGACCAAAGGGGAACAGAAAGGAAAATAGGAATAGGCTCAGGAAATGCCAATGGTTTTTATTCATTTATTTTTAATTTTAATTTTTTTTTAGGGATAGGGCTTCTCTGTTGCCTGGGTTGAAGTGTAGTGGCCTCATGATAGCTCACTGCATCCTTGGCATCCCAAAGTGATGGGGTTATAGGCACAAATCAATGTTCCCAACCCCACCAGTGGTTTGTGTTTGTTTTTTTGTGACAGAGTCTCCATCGCTCAGGCTGGAGTGTGGTGGCACGATCTTAGGTCACTGCAGCTGTTGCCTCCTGTGCTTAAGCCTTTCTCCTGCCTCAGCCTCCCAGAGTAGCTGGGATTACAGGCATGCACCACCGCACCCAGCTAATTTTTGTAGTTTTGATAGGAATAGGGTTTCACCATGTTGGCCAGGCTAGTCTTGAACTCCTGACCACAAGGGATCCACCTGCCTCAGCCTCCCAGAGTGTTGGGATTACAGGTGTGAGCCACCGCACCCAGCCAAATCCTCACCATTTTAGTTCTACGTGCTGAATTGGAATTCTCGGCCAGGCGCGGTGGCTCACGCCCCTAATCCCAGCACTTTGAGAGGCCGAGGCGGGCGGATCACGAGGTCAGGAGATCGAGACCATCCTGGCTAACACGGTGAAACCCCGTCTCTACTAAAAATACAAAAAATGAGCCAAGTGTGGGGTTGTGCCACTATAGTCCCAGCTGCTGGGGAGGCTGAGGCAGGAGAATGGTGCGAACCTGAGAGGCGGAGCTTGCGGTGAGCCGAGTTCGCGCCACTGCGCTCCAGCCTGGACGACAGTGAGACTCTGTCTCTAAAAAAAAAAAAGAAATTCTCCTTTACGTGTCTTCATGAATGAAAGGGAACTAATGGCCCTAACTGCCGCGTTCCATAGCTTTGTTTGACAGGGAGAGCCCCTGATGATATATTTTCCAAACCCTTACTACAAAACGTGATGCTCTCTGATCCTTTAACTCTCTTTACATACTACTTCATTTTGTTCTGTCACTTTCTGTAGGATCAGCTGGATTGTCTTCTGTGGCAGAAGCTCTTTGTTTCTTTTTACCCTCTCAAAGTTCCATTAAAGATTTCCAGTTTTGGCCTAGCAAGATGGCTCATGAGAGCCATTGTCAAGATTACAAAGTGCTTGTAATGCCAGCACTGTGAGACTAAGGTGGGCGGAGTGCTTGAGTCCAGGATTTCAGGACCAGCCTGGGCAACATGGCAAAACCCTGTCTTTACAAAAAAATAAAAAATTTGCCAGGGAGTGGTGGTACATGCCTGTAGTACCAGCTACTTCTTAGGTTGAGGTGGAAGGATTGCTTGAGCTCAGGAAGTGGAGGCTGCAGTGAACCAAGATGGCGCCACTGCACACCAGTCTGGGTGACAAAGTGAGGCCCTCTCTCAAAGAAAAAAAAACTTCCAGTCTTGTCCTGACTTGGTGGCTCACACCTGTAATCCTAGCACTTTATGAAACTGACACAGGCAGGAGGGTTGCTTGAGGCCAGGAGTTTAAGACCAGCCTGGGCAACATAGCAAGACCCAGTCTCTACAGGGAAAAAAAAAAAAAAGGAGCTGGGCATGGTAGCATGTGTCTGTAGTCCCAGCTACTTGGGAAGTTTAGTGGAAGGGGTGCTTGAGCCAGGAGTTTCAGGCTGCAGTGAGTTATGATCGTACTGTGGCACTCTAGCCTGGGTGATAGACCAAGACTGTCTCGAAAATAGAAGACTTACGGTTTTTGAAAAATATTTTAAAATGTTGTGATAGTAGAAATTTAAATTGGATCCCATGTGCTTTTGAATTTCAACTTTATCACCCAGTAAAAACTAGAAAATGATAAATGTGGCATGAAGCAGCACATCCAGATTGTAGTTTTGTTGATAATCTTTGAAAATTGGAAAAGCCCACGAGTTGTACTGAAAAGAAGAATATTTTGAAGAAATTTCAACTGGTGACAGTCTCTAAAAAGGAATTATGGGCTGGGCACACTGGCTCACACCTATAATCCTAGCACTTTGGGAGGCTGAGGCAGGCAAATCGCTTGAGGTCAGGAGTTTGAGACCAGCCTGGACAATATGGTGAAACCCTATGTCTGCCAAGCAATACAAAAATTAGCCAGGCATCGCCGGGCACAGTGGCTCACGCCTGTGGTCCCAGCACTTTGGGAGGCCGAGGCAGGTGGATCACCTGAGGTTGGGAGTTGAAGATCACCTTGACCAACATGGGGAAAACACTGTCGCTACTAAAAATACAAAATTAGCTGGATGTGGTGGCCTGTAATCCCAGCTGCTCAGGAGGCTGAGGCAGGAGAATCGCTTGAACCCAGGAGGCAGAGGTTGTGATGAGCTGGAGATTGCGCCATTACATTCCAGCCTGGGCAACAAGAGCGAAATTCCATCTCACAAAATATATATATATATTAGCCAGGCATGGTGGTGCATGCCTGTAGTCCCAGCTACTCAGGAGGCTGAGGCAGGAGAATCACTTGAACCCGGGAGGCGGAGGTTGAAGCACAGAGATCGTGCCACTGCACTCCAGCCTGGGTAACAGCCCCTGTCTCAAAAGAAAAAGAAAAAAAATTGGCCGGGCGCGGTGGCTCAAACCTGTAATCCCAGCACTTTGGGAGGCCGAGACGGGTGAATCACGAGGTCAGGAGATCGAGACCATCCTTGCTAACCCGGTGAAACCCCGTCTCTACTAAAAAATACAAAAAACTAGCCAGGCGAGGTGGCGGGTGCCTGTAGTCCCAGCTACTCGGGAGGCTGAGGCAGGAGAATGGCGTAAATCTGGGAGGCGGAGCTTGCAGTGAGCTGAGATCTGGCCACTGCACTCTAGCCTGGGCGACAGAGCAAGACTCCGTCTCAAAAAAAAAAAAAAAAAAAAAAATTAAAAAGGCTGGGCACAGTAGCTCACCACTGTAATCACCACTTTGGGAGGCAGAGGTGGGTTGATCACCTGAGGTCAGGAATTCAAGACCAGCCTGGCCAACATGGCGAAACTACCCCATCTCTACTAAAAATACAAAAATTAGCCAGGCATGGTGGTGCTCCCCTGTAATCCCATCCCAGCTACTCAGGAGGCTGAGCTAGGAGAATCTGGGTGGGGGGAAGGTGTCGGGGGGTAGACAGGCCGAGGTTGCAGTGAGCAGAGGTCATGCCTCTTCACTCTACCCTGGGTGAGAGTGAAACTCCCAGCTCAAAAAAAAAAGGGGGGGGGGCGCAATTATGGTATATAGCCACAAGGAGGAGCTAAATTCTGTTGATAAATGAGGCTGGAACAGGAACTTCATTTTTTAAAGGCATTTAAAGTTTCACTGTAAAACTTCACAGTTGGATAATTTTGTTTTAGTAGATAGATGACAGGCTTGTTTGGTTTTAAAAGAAATACGCCAGGCGCGGTGGCTCATGCCTGTAATCTCAGCACTTTGGGAGGCCAAGGTGGGCGGATGTCGGGAGATCGAGACCACCCTGGTGAAACTCCATCTCTACTAAAAATACAAAAATTAGCCAGGTGTGGTGGCGGGCGCCTGTAGTCCCAGCTGCTGGGGAGGCTGAGGCAGGAGAATGGCGTGAACCCCGAAGGCGGAGCTTGCAGTGAGCCGAGATCGCACCACTGCACTCCAGCCTGGGCGACAGAGCTAGACTGTCTCAAAAAAAAAAAAAAAAAAAAAAAAAAACAGTAGTAGTAAAAAGTATCCATTGTGCTATACTCTCAGTTATTAGAATGTATTTCCTCTCTTTAAGCCCTCCTTACCCACCAGTAAAACGGGATTATCTGCTATACTAGTTACAAATATTAAACAAGGAGTTATTTGTTTGGATCCGTGACCTTGAGGCATTTAAAAATCTTCAGGTTGACTTTGCAATTCATTTTACTTCATTTTGAAGAATTTGGAATTGATTCGTTTTAGAATTGTTCTCCCAATAGTTTTTGATAACAGGATTTTGATAAATTAAAACATCTTAGCAGGCCTCTGCCTGCCCCCGCCTCCCCAACTTTTTTTTGTTTTTTTATTTTTCAAGACAGTCTTGCTCTGTCTCCCAGACTGGAGTGCAGTGGCATGATCGCAGCTCACTGCAACCTCCGCTTCCTGAGTTCAAGTGATTATCCTGCCTCAGCCTCCCGATTAGCTGGGATTTATAGGCGCCCACCACGATGCCTGGCTAATTTTGTTTTTGTTTTTTTATTTATTTATTTTTTTGTATTGACGGAGTCAATACAAAATTAGCTGGGCATGGTGGCACATGCCTGTAATCCCAAGTACTTGGGAGGCTGGGGCAGGAGAATTGGTTGACCCGGGAGGCAGAGGTTGCAGTGAGCCGAGATTACACCATTGCACTCCACCCTGGGCAACAACAGCGAAACTCCATCGCAAGAAAAAAAAAACCAATTTAGTCATACAATAAGCTGCTTTGCTCCTTGGGGTGTACTTTTTTTTTTTTAACTGCTCCTTACAAAGCATGGCTAACTTATATATAGTCAGTGTACCCAGAGTTGGCTGCTGCTTAGTTTTAAAATTGTGTTTTTAGCCTAACACTGTATCTACTGTATCTTAAAGATATTTTCATTTCTGTACATGAAAATCTTATTTTTTAACGGCTATATGGTATTTAATATCTGAGCATACTATGTTTTATTAGTTTGGGTTTTTTTTTTTTGTTTTTTTTTTGACACGGAGTCTCCCGCTGTCACCCAGGCTGGAGTGCAGTGGCACAATCTCGGCTCACTGCCACCTCTGCCTCCAAGGTTCAAGCAATTCTCCTGCCTCAGCCTCCCAAGTGGCTGGGATTACAGACGCCTGCCACCACGCCCAGCTAATTTTTTGTATTTTTAGTAGAGATGGGTTTTCACTATGTTAGCCAGGCTGGTCTTGAATGCCTGACCTCGTGATCCACCTGCCTCGGCGTCCCAAAGTGTTGAGATTACAGGTGTTAGCCACGGTGCCCGGCCTGGGGTTTTGTTTTTTTTTTTTTTTTGAGACAGAGTCTTGCTCTGTTGCCAGGCTGGAGTTCAGTTGGGCAATCATGGCTCACTGTAACCTCCACCTCATGGGTTCAACTGATTCTCCTGCCTCAGCCTCCTGAGTACCTGGGACTACAGGCGTGCGCCACCACGGCCAGCTGATTTTTGTATTTTTGATAGAAATGGAGTTTCGACCTGTTGACCTGGTGATCCGCCCACCTTGGCTTCCCAGAGTTTTGGGATTACAGGTGTGAGCCCTGGCACCCGGCCTAATTTGGGTTTTTATTGAGATTTATTTTCAGTCTTTGCTGAACAGTGCAGCGAGATTCTTTAAACATATCACCCTTCTGTGGACCCTCGATACACACATATTTAGCTTTTATTTAATTTTTTTTGAGGCAGAGTTTCTCTCTCGTCACATACAATGGCATGATCTTGGCTCACTGCAACTTCAGCTTCCCGGGTTCAAGTGATTCTCCTGCCTCAGCCTCCCAAGTAGCTGGGATTACAGGCGTATGGCACCATGCCCAGCTATTATTTCTTTTTTTTTTTTTTTTTTTTTTTTTTTTTTGTATTTTTAGTAGGGACTGAGTTTCACGATTTTGGCCAGGCTGGTCTCGAACTCCTGACCTCAGGTGATCTGCCTGCCTCAGCCTCCCAAAGTGTTGGGATTACAGGTGTGAGCCACCACACCCAGCCTCTCTCTTTTTTTTTTTTTTTTTTTTTTTTTTGAGACCAAGTCTTGCTTTGTCACCCAGGTTGGAGTTCAATGGCACGATATTGGCTCACCACAACCTCTGCTTGCTGGGTTCAAGCAGTTCTCCTGCCTCAGCTTCCCAAATAGCTGGGATTACAGGCACATGCCACCATGCCCGGCTAATTTTTTAAATATTTTTAGTAGGGATGGGGTTTTACCACGTTGGCCAGGCTGGTCTTGAACTCCTGACCTCAGGTGATCCGCCCGCCTCAGCCTCCCAAAGTGTTCGGATTACAGGAGTGAGCCATTGTGCCTGGCCCCTGCCTTTTTTTCTCTTTTTTTGATACAGGGTCTTTCGCTTTGTCACTCAGGCTGGAGTGAGCTGGTGTGGTCACAGTTCACTGTGGCCTTATCTTATGGGCTCAATCGATCCTCCCACCTTGGCTTCCTGAGTAGCTGGGAGTATGGACATGTGTCACCGTGGCTGGCTAATTTTTTTTTTTTTTTTTTTTTTTTTTTTTTTTACTTTTTTTTGTAGAGATGTTGTCTCTCTCTGTTGCCCAGGCTGGTCTAGGTCTCCTGGGCTCAAGCAGTCCTCCAGTGTTGGCCTCTAATAGTACTGGGATTACAGGCATGAGCCACCGCACCTGGATAATATTCTGCTTTTTACTCAAAAACTAAGTTTTGGCTGGGTGCAATGGCTCACGCCTGTAATCCCAGCACTTTGGGAGGCCAAGGCAGGCAGATCACTTGAGCTCAGGAGTTTGAGACCAGCCTGACCAACATGATGAAACCCCATCTCTACTAAAAATACAAAAAAAATTAGCTGGGCATGGCGGTGGATGCCTGTAATCTCAGCTACTCGGGAGACTGAGGCAGGAGTATTGCTTGAACCTGAGGGATGGAGGTTGCAGTGAGCTAAGATCACGCCACTGCCCTCCAGCCTGGGTGACAGAAATCTTGTCTCAAAAAAAAAAAAAAAAAAAGAAAAAAAACACACATAACAAGTTAAGTTTTATCTAATAGTCATAAAAAAGGAAGCCAAGTAAATTACTTAAACCAAGTGTGTTGATACATTAAGCTATGAGGCATCTAAAATAATGAAACTTGGAACTCAGTGGAACATGTACATGTTTTCAGCATACTTAAACCCGAAAATCATTAATTTTCAGAACTTAATCAGTGCTTTTACATTTGTTTTTTCTTTTATGCTAGTTGGAAATGGAGGATGAAGATACAATTGATGTGTTCCAACAGCAGACGGGAGGTGTCTACTGAAAAGGGAACCTGCTTCTTTACTCCAGAACTCTGTTCTTTAAAGACCAAGATTACATTCTCAATTAGAAAACTGCAATTTGGTTCCACCACATCCTGACTACTACCGTATAGTTTTCTCTATTCTTTCATTTCCCCCTTCCCCATTCCTTTATTGTACATAAAGTAACTGGTATATGTGCACAAGCATATTGCATTTTTTTTTTTTTTTAACTAAACAGCCAATGGTATGTTTTAATTGACATCAAGTGGAGACGGGATGGGGAAAAATACTGATTCTGTGAAAATACCCCCTTTCTCCATTAGTGGCATGCTCATTCAGCTCTTATCTTTATATTCCAGTAAGTTATTTTGCTCTCACTGTTTTAACAAAAACACACAACATAAAAATCCTTGCATACCTTGTTCAATTGGAGAATTTTAATGTTTTTCATTTATCATTGTAAAACCAAGGACAATTTTATAACTTTTTTGTACGTAGCTGTTACATGTAGGGCAATCTGTCTTTAAGTAGGGATAAATTACTCTAAAACAAAAAAGAATCTTAGATAGTTTTCCCTTCAAGTCAAGCGTCTTGTTGTTTAAATAAACTTCTTGTTTAAAATGAGCTGTTTTCTTTATTCTGAGAAATATTAAATAGAAAATTGAGGCTTAGAAAAAACACATAAATAGGCCTGCTTAGAAGTAACATTTCAAGAAGGAAATAAAGCTACTTGGTGTTTCTGACAGACTTGATACTGATGTGAAACAAAGAATAACAGTTTTATAAATATCACCTTGTTCCAAAAGTTTCTCTAGGTCCCATGTTAATATGCAAGTATACTAGCAGAAAAATTGGGCCATAGTATTGTGGATTTCCAAGTATTTTCTGTATAGTAAGTGAGGCACAGAGTGTAGGGTATAGGGTAGCACATGTGGCAAGGAAAAAGTTGTGATTTGCCTTTGTTGCTGATAAAATGAACCATTCTAGCCCTCACTTAAATAAGTAAATACTCCCTAACCTAAAATAAAAGTTTTCGTTCCTTATCCAAGGATTGTTTTTTGAGACGGAGGTTTCCTCTTGTTTCCCAGGCTGCAGTGTAGTGGCATGATTTCGGCTCACTGCAACCTCCGCCTCCCAGGTTCAGGCGATTCTCCTGCCTCAGCCTCCTGAGTAGCTGGGATTATAGGTGCATGTCACCATGCCCAGCTAATTTTTTTTCTATTTTTAGTAGAGATGGCGTTTTATCATGTAGTCCAGGCTGGGAGTCTTGAACTCCTGACCTCAGGTGATCCACCCCCCTCAGCCTTCCAAAGTACAGGGATTACAGGTGTGAGCCACCGCGCCTGGCTTATTCAAGAATATTGAGGGACAGAAAATATCTGTATCCATCTTCAGAACCTTAAATATACAGGTCACTACAGTCTTTATTATTTTAATTTTTGTTTCTTAGGTTTTTTTTCTTGGTGGTGGTGGTGATTCGAGACAGAGCATACTCCGTCGCCCAGGCTGGAGCGTGGTGGCGCAATCTCGGCTCACTGCAAGCTCCGCCTCCCAGGTTCACGCCATTCTCCTGCCTCAGCCTCCCATCTTAGGTCTTTTTGAAAGAGGTTATGCCTCTGTTGCCTAGTCTGGAGTGGTGCAGTGGTGTGATCTCGGCTCACTGCACCCTCCACCTCCAGGTCTTAAGAGATCTCCCTGCTCAGCCTCGTGAGTAGCTACAACCACAGGTGCATGCCATCACAGCCCACTAATTTTTATATTTTTTAATAGAGATAGAGTTTTGCCATATTGTCCAGGCTGGGCTCAAACCCCTGATCTTAAGTGATCTACCTGCCTTAGCCTCCCAGTGTGCTGGGTTTACAGGCATGAGCCACTACGCCCAGCCCCTTTTAAATTTTTTTTAAATGTTTGTTTATTTTTGAGACGGAGTTTCGCTCTTGTTGCCCTGGCTGGAGTCCAATGGCATGATCTCAGCTCACTGCAACTTCCGCCTCCCAGGTTCAACTGATTCTCCTGCCTCAGCCTCCGGAATAGCTGGGATTGCAGGCATGTACTACCATGCCTGGCTAATTCTGTATTTTTAGTAGAGAAGGGGTTTCTCAATGTTGGTCAGGCTGGTCTCGACCTCCTGACCTCAGGTGATTCGCCTGCCTTGGCCTCCCAAAGTGCTGGGATTACAGGCTTGAGCCACTGTGCCCAGCCAAATTTTTTATTATTTTTAAATTAGAGATATGGTCTCACCATGTTGACCAGTTTGGTCTCGAACTTCTGGCCTCAATCCCTTGTCTTGGCCTTGCAAAGTGTTGGGGATTAGACGCCATGCCCAACCACTACAGTCTTTTTGTTGTTGTTTTGAGACAGACTCTTGCTCTGTCACCCAGGCTGGAGTGCAGTGATGCAATCTTGGCTCACAGCAAGCTCCACCTCCCGGGTTCATGCCATTCTCCTGCCTCAGCCTCCTGAGTAGCTGGGACTACAGGCGTCCACCACCATACCCAGATAACTTTTTGTATTTTTAGTAGAGACAGAGTTTCACCGTGTTAGCCAGGATGGTCTCCATCTACTGACCTCGTGATCCACCCACTTCAGACTCCCAAAGTGCTGGGATTACAGGCGTGAGCCACCGTGCCCAGCCAACCACTACAGTTTTGTGTGTGTGTGTGTGTGTGTGTGTGTGTGTTTTGAGATGGAGTCTCGCTCTGTTGCCCAGGCTGGGTTGCAGTAGCGCGATCTCGGCTCACTGCAAGCTCCACCTCCCAGGTTCACACCATTCTCCTACCTCAGCCTCCCAAGTAGCTGGGACTACAGGCACCCGCCACAACGCCTGGCTAATTTTTTGTATTTTTAGTAGAGACGGGGTTGCACTTTGTTAGCCAGGATGGTCTCGATCTCCCGACCTTGTGATCTGCCCTCCTCAACCTCCCAAAGTGCTGGGATTACAGGTGTGAGCCACCGCGCCCAGCCATCACTACAGTTTTTAATTCAAATATTTAGGGGAAAATGGCAGTTTTATAATCACAGATTATCTCACTGCCATTTTGTTTTGAGACAGTGTCTCGCTTTGTTGCTCAGTGCTAGAGTGCAGTGGCGCTATCTTAGTTCACTGCAACCTCTGCCAGGTTTAATTGAGCCTTCTGAGTAACTGGGATTACAGTCACACACCACCGCGCCTGGCTAGTTTTTTTTTTTTTTTTTTTTTTTTTTTTTTTAGTTTTTTTTTTTTTTCCCCGGCTGGGGGGCAATGGCACGATCTCGGCTCAGCGCAACCTCTGCCTCCCGGGTTCAAGTGATTCTCCTGCCTCAGCCTCCCAAGTAGCTGGGATTACAGGCACCCGCCACCACACCCGCTAATTTTTATATTTTTTAGTGGAGAGAGGGTTTCACCATTTTGGCTAGGCTGGTCTCGAACTCCTGACCTTATGATCCACCTGCCTCGGCCTCCCAAAGTGCTGGGATTAACAGGCGTTGAGCCATTGCGCCCGGCCCTCTGGCAAGTTTTTAAAAAATACCGAAAGCCTGTACCCTACCCCCAGAAATGTATTTTCAAAGCAATATGGAATTGAAAACCACCTCTGGCAGGCATCTTCACAAGTTAAGCACCTTATGGTGAAGATTAAATAAGGTAATGTGTGTTTTTTTTTTTTTAACACTGCTATGAAAATATTAATGTGTTTTATCTTTTTTTTTTTTTGAGACAGGGTCTCACTCTGTTGCCCAGACTGGAGTACAGTGGCGCGATCTCGGCTCACTGCAACCTTTGCCTCCCAGGCTCAAACGATTCTCGTGCCTCAGCCTCTGGAGTAGCTTGGATTACAGGAGTGGGCCACTACCGCCTGGCTAATTTTTTGTGTTTTAGTAGAGATGGGGTTTCACTATGTTGGCCAGGCTGGTCTTGAACTCCTGACCTCAAGTAACCCACCCGCCTCAGCCACTCGAGGTGCTGGGATTACAGGAATGAGCCTCTGTGCCCAAGCAATGTGTGTTTTAGATGTCTAGCATGGTGTCTCCCGCATGTAAGTTGTTTCTTGTTTTTGTTTTTTTTTTGTTTTTTTCTTTTTCTGAGACAGTCTCACTGTCTCTTTGGTACCCTAAGAAGCAAAGCATCCATCCATAGGATGAGTTAGAGTTCTGATTATCTACATTGTGACTTGAAAGTTTCTGCTGGTTGTGGTAGGAAATAGAGGCATACCTCACAGGGACTACGGGCTTGGTCCCAGACTACAGCACTACAATAAAGAAGATAATCTCAATAAAACGAGTCACACAAATTTTTTTGTTTTTCAGTGCATATAAAAGTTATGTTCAGCACTGGCAATATAGTGAGACCCTATCTCTACAAAAAATAAAAGCCAGGTGCAGTTGTGCATGCTTGTAGTTCCAGCTACTCTGAAGACTGAGGTGAGAAGATTGCCTGAGCCCGGGGGAAGGCCGAGGCTGTAATGAGCTGTGATCGTGCCACAGCAGTCCAGCTAGGTTGACAGGGTAAGACCCTGTCTTAGGGAAAAAAAAAAAGTTTATACTGTAGTAAGGTATTCAGTAGCATTACGTCTTTAAAAAAAATACATACTTTAATTTTTATATTTTGGGAGGGGGTGACAGGATCTGATTTTCTGTGTTGCCCAGGCTAGAGGGCAGTGGTGCAGTTATAGCTTACTGCAGCCTCGAACTCCTGGACTCAAGCAGTCCTCCCACCTCAGCCTCCCAAGGTGTTGGGAATAATGAGCCACTGTGCCTGGCCCATACCTTAAAGTACTTTGTTTTGTAGACAGGATCTTGCTTGGTCCACCCAGCCTGGAGTGCAGGGATGTAATCACAGTTCAGTGCACCCTGGATATCCCAGACACCTGTAATCCCAGCTAGTTGGGAGGCTCAGGCAGAGAATTGCTTGAACTCAGGAAGCGGAGGTTGCAGCGAATAGAGACTGTGCTACTGCACTCCAGCCTGGGCAACAGAGTGAGACTGCATCTCAAAAAAACCCAAAAAACATAGTATCTGCAAAGTGCAATAAAATGAGGCATGCCTGTAAGCATGTTTTATAATGAGACTTTGGTTTTTATAGTGGTTAGCTAATTTAAAAAGTTCCTCGAGGTAAAACATAATTAGAACAGAGTATATAAACTAGTTTGGAATTAATCTGTTATTTGAATTGTAGATTGTTAGTTCCCTGTAAGCAGTGCTGTATGAGGCACTTTTAGGATTTCTTATACCCTGAGGGCTTTGTGAAACACTTTAAAGTCCAAGAATTATCACCTAATATTTGTTTTCTTGGCCGGGCGCGGTGGCTCATGCCTGTAATCCCAGTACTTTGGGAGGCTGAGGCAGGTGAATCACGAGGTCAGGAGACCATCCTGGCTAACATAGTGAAAACCCATCTCTACTAAAAATAAAAAAAAAAAATTATCTGGGCATGGTGGCGGGCACCTGTAGTCCCAGCTACTCAGGAGGCTGAAGCAGGAGAATGGTGTGAACCAGGGAGGCGGAGCTTGCAGTGAGCCACGATTCCGCCACTGCACTCCAGCCTGGGTGACAGAGCGAGACTCCGTCTCAAAAAATATATAAATTATATATATATATTTTTTTACTGTTCATATTTTAAAGGTATATTATGTGGCTAAATTTGCCAC